CCACAGCAATTATTTTTAGTTAGCATATAGCTAAAATCTAAAGACGTTTGTATAAAAGCAGCAACATTTTGGCGTGATATGCTGTATGTTTTATATTCAATTAATTTATGATCCGATTAGTCGACTAATCAAAAAAAATAATCGGTGATTAATCGACTATAATAATAATTGTTTGTGGCAGCCCTAAAGTCTAATGTTACAACTAATCAGGGATCCTTTAAGAAGAATCCAGTGAATTCCTGTTTATTCAAACAGACCACTTTGAACAATGCATTTTTTCTACACTTTCGTTCAGCGATCCCAACCTGAGAACTCTGGTCCTCCTGCAGGTCAGCTACTACTTCCCTTTGAAGACCCTGTGGCGGTCCTTTTTCGCCGCRCTGGTCGCCGCCTTCACGCTGCGCTCCATCAACCCGTTCGGCAACAGCCGCCTGGTTCTGTTCTACGTGGAGTACCACACRCCCTGGTACATGGCCGAGCTGGTCCCCTTCATCCTTCTGGGCGTGTTCGGCGGACTCTGGGGGACCCTGTTCATCCGGGCCAACATCGCCTGGTGCCGGCGCAGGAAGACCACCCAGCTGGGGAAGTAYCCGGTCCTGGAGGTCATCGTGGTGACAGGGATCACAGCGGTCCTGGCCTTCCCCAACCCGTACACCCGGCGCAGCACCAGCGAGCTCATCTCGGAGCTCTTCAACGACTGCGGCGCCCTGGAGTCCTCGCAGCTCTGCGACTACGTCAACAACCCCAACATGAGCCGGCCYGTGGACGACATCCCTGACCGCCCAGCCGGACCCGGGGTCTACAGCGCCATGTGGCAGCTCGCGCTCGCCCTCATCTTCAAGATCGTCATCACCATCTTTACCTTCGGCATGAAGGTGAGAGGTCTCTGCCCACAGGATCCTTAAAAAGTATTAAAAAGCATTGAATTCACCAATCCAAAAATAAGGCCTTAATTAGCCTTAAAATGTCTTAAACCAATCATTCTGAGGTCTTTAATGTTAACACATTGTAGGATCATTGTGATTTGTCTAAAATATTAAAATTAGTGACATTTCTTTAAAATTTTTTTTTTACCAAAATCTTCTTGCAGTTTGTTGCTCTTTAAATATTTGGGTAAAATGATCGCCAACTGTTTTTTCCCTTTTGTGTTTTTGTATTGCATATTTGTTCTTTAATTTCATTTCAAGTGGCATTAAAAAAGTCTTAAAAGTAGGGTTGGGCGATATTGGCAAAAAAATTAATCACGATTAATTGTGGTATTTAGCTGATAACGATTAATTTGACAATTAATCCCCTGGAGTCTCTGGACACCCGTATGTCCTGGTCACATGACCAATTTAGTGGGAAAGATTTGCTCTTCAAAATTACAGGCTTCAGGCTGTACAGCAAATTTTAATTTGTGTTGAAAGATAAATGAACTTTTTTTTAATGTTTGTCATATTTGAAGCAGAGAGGAGCACCGTGTGGACTGACTGCTGGCATTAATCGTATTAATCGTTAAGTACCAAAAAATAATCGATTGTTTTTCTGACGATTAATTGCACACGAAACGATTATGCCCAACCCTACTTAAAAGGTCTTAAATTTAACTTGCGTTAAGCAGTAGGAACCCTGAGGACACTTCGACCCGGGCCGATCCAGGTTTTTATGAACGTGGTTCTGGTTTCAGATCCCCTCGGGTCTCTTCATCCCCAGCATGGCGGTGGGTGCCATCGCCGGCCGGATCGTGGGCATCGCCGTGGAGCAGATGGCGTATCACCACCAYGACTGGATCATCTTCAAGAACTGGTGCAGGCCCGGCGCCGACTGTGTCACACCGGGACTCTACGCCATGGTGGGCGCCGCCGCCTGCCTGGGTGAGCGAACGGATCGGAATGTTTTATTCTACGTTATATGACTCGAGTGGAGCAGAAGAATAATCAAGAATAAAGTCAATTAATAATATTTATTGACGCACAAACGGGGAACTCCCATTAACCTCATCCATCTGCTGCCAACCCAAMAACCACCGACCCRATTTTAACACCACTCAGGCAGACGAACCCACAAAACGCTACCAATGTTCACTGCAAACTTATACTGCAGACACTGTTCACTGTAGAAATAYTACATGCAGTACACCCAAGGGGACACTTCAAGCAGGATCGGGTCTCAGACGCTTAAGATTAACAGCGATATGGAATGTTTACAGTGGGGAAAATAAGTATTTAGTCAGTCACCAATTGTGCAAGTTCTCCCACTTAAAAAGATGAGAGAGGCCTGTAATTGACATCATAGGTAGACCTCCGGTTTTTTAACCTGGGAACTCAGAGAAACCACAACAAGCCCGGCCGAAACAT